GCAGCTGCTTACGGAGGGGTCCCAAGCTGACCTCATCTTGGGACGCCTACAGGAGATGTAGCGGGGGGGGGGGGTGTGGGGAGCAACTCGGACTAGACTAAGTTACTGGAATTAAGACTTATTCTATGCATCTGCTCTCCCACAATATGGCGCTGGGAGAGAAGAAAACAGCTTCTACACAGCTGCCTCCAGTTCAGCCAATAAACTGTAGGACTTGCTCCTGATTGGAGGAGAGCAGCGTACTCGGCGTGTGGGCAGCCGAGTTGGGATTGGCAGAGGAGGACTATAAAGGAGGAGAGAGACGGCATGCACCAGGAACATCTAAGAGGAACATCTAAGGGGAACACCTGTGCAGCCCCCGAGAGAGCCGGCCGGCGGTGTGCCGCTCCCCTGCGGAAGTGGGGAAAGTGGCCAGGGGGAACCGCCCTTCCACGGAGGTGGAAGGGACAGTAGCCAACCCGGGAAGAACCAGCAGCAAACCCGGGGAGGGCCGAGCAGATGAAAGAACAGCGCAGGGTCCTGTGTCGTTCCTCCATGAAGAGGGGGAGCGACATAATGGTGCCGTGACTCGGATATGAAGCCTAGGCAGGGTTTAGTGTCGTTCCTCCACGAAGAGGGGGAGTGACGGGGGGGTGGGATAGGGGGTGGGAAGGGTTACTCACAATGGCCCACCTGGGAAAGACCCCAGTGTCGGTCAACAGCAGAACAGAGGAGCCCCTCGTTGTGTGGTCACACCACAGGGTAATTGGCGGCGCTGACAAGGAGGGAGCTGAGCTCCTTGTAAAACAGGATTTAATCTTGGAAACGCACCTCCAGTGAAGGAAGCCGGACGCAGTGGAACACGTAGGTGTGATTCTATTTCTGGAAAGCTAGAAGCTGCTGGCAAAACTGAAGAGCAGTGCTTCTGGCTGCCTGTTCAAGGGGTCGCAGGAGGGTGTGAGAGGGCTCCAGGACTCTTGTTCCTGCTCAGCTTTGGAGGGGTGGGAGGCGGGGAGTGGGCTTTGGGGGCGCCACAAGCCTCCCAGCTCTGGAACTGGCCTGTACTAGTAATTTGTTAAGGTGTGCATGTAGTTCTGTTTAATTAAAATCACTTATTTAGTTGGAAGACAGAGAGACACAAAGAGAGGGATAGACAGAGATCACAGACATCCATCTGTGTGTGTGTGTGTGTGTGTGTGTGTGTGAGGGATGTGTGTGCAAAGATGTTCATTGATTTTTATTTACCTGAAAGGCAGAGTGACGGATGACAGTGAGAGAGAGAGAGGGAGTGTGTGTGTGTGTGTGTGTGTGTGTGAGAGAGAGAGAGAGACAGAGACAGAGATCTTCCAGCTGCTGGTTTGCTCCCTAAGTGCCTACAATAGGGAGGTCTGAGCCAGGCAGAAGCCAGGAGCCTGGAACTCCATCCGGGTCACCCGGGTGCCAGTGGCCCAAGTCCTTGAGCCATCACAAACAGCCTCCCAGGCGCATTAGCAGGAAGTTGGGTCAAAAGTGGAGTAGCCAGGACTTGAACCAGGCACTTCCATGTGAGATGCAGCTGTTCCGAGTGGTGGCTTATCTCGCTGCACCACACTGTGAGCTCTGTGTGTGTATTTTTGATGCATATTTTTCTCTATGTCTTATACAGTGGGCCTTCCACTCCTCATCTGTGACTTCAACCAACCATGAATGTGACAAAAACAGAACAGAACAAGAAGCCTCTGCACTGAGCTCTGGGTATGCATTTTCTTCTTGTCATTATTCCCTGAGCGATGCAGTACAGCAACTGTTCACACAGCGTTTACATTATGTTAGACCTTGTGTGGACTCTAGAGATGATGTGAATTCTGTGGGGATCCCGTGCACAGGTTCTATGCAAGTCCTACCCCACTTAACCTATACAGACTCGGCCATCTGCACATTTTGGTATCTGAGAGGTTTCTGGAATTGATCCCCCATGGATACTGTGGGATGACTGCATTTCACATATAAAAGGCTGAAGAAATAGAATCCATAATATTTTTAAAGACTTACTTCTTTATTTGAAAGACAGAGTTACAGAGAGAGGTAGAGACAGAGAGAAAGGTCTTCCATTCGCCGGTTCATTCCCCAGATGGCCGCAACAGCTGGAGCTGTGCCGATCCAAAGCCAGGAGCCAGGAGCTTCTTCCGGGTCTCCCATGTGGGTGCAGGGGCCCAAGGACTTGTGCCATCTTCTACTGCTTTCCCAGGCCATAGCAGAGAGCTGGATCAGAAGTGGAGCAGCCGGGACTCGAACTGACGCCCATATGGGATGTCGGCACTGCAGGAGGCAGCTTAACCTGCTACACCACAGCACCAACCCCATAATCCATAATATTTTAAAAAAATTATTGGAGCTAGCTCTGTGGCATAGTGGGTTAAGCTGCAGCCTGCAGTGCCAGCATCCCAAATGGGCACTGGTTCATTGCTCCTCTTCTGATCCAGCTCCCTGGGAAAGCAACAGAAGATGGCCCAAGTGATTGGAGCTCGCTCGCTCTTGCTCTCTCTCTCTGCCTCTGCCTCTCCTGCTCTGTAACTCTGCCTTTCAAATAAATAAATAATTTCTTGTAACTTAAGATTTCTGTAAATCTTTAAAAATTTATTTATTTATTTTAAAGTCAGAGTTATAGAAAGGGAGACACACATGCATACACACACACACACAGGAAGAGACAGAGATCTTCCATCTGCTAGTTCACTCCTCACATGGCCACAAAGGCTGGGGTTGGGCCAGGCCCAAGCCAAGAGCCAGGATCTTCTTCTAGGTCTCCCACATGGGTGGCAGGGGCTCAAGCACTTGGGCCATCTTTTGCCGCTTTCCCAGGTGCATTAGCAGGGAGCTGGATCAGAAATGGAGCAGTGAGGGGATTGGCGCTGTGGCGTAGTGGGTAAAGCCGCCTCCTGCAGTACTGGCATCTCATATGGATGCTGGTTTGGGAACCAGCTGCTCCACCTCCGATCCAGATCTCTGCTATGGCCAACTTCTTGGGCCCCTGCACCCATGTAGGAGACCCAGAGGAAGCTCCTGGCTTCGGATAGGCACAGCTCCGGCCATTGCGGCCATCTGGGGAGTGAACTAGCAGATGGAAGACCTCTTTCTCTTTCTCTCTGCCTCTGTCTCTCTGTAACTCCAACTTTCAAATAAATAAAAAAATCTTTAAAAAAAAAAGGTGGAGCAGCTGGAACATGAACTTGTGCCTGTGTGTGATGCCAGCATTGCAGACAGTGGTTTTACCCACTACACCACAATGCCAGCCCCCAAATCCTTAAATTTTAAAAGGGGTGGGATGTTATGTGAGAATTTGAGGACTGGGACCCTGTGAGGTGGTTACACTCTCTCTTTCTCTTTTCCCTTCTTGCATTCCTCTTCCCCCCTCCTTCATCAGCATCTCTCTCCCCTCCCTGCTGAAAGCCCCTGAGCCCCCTCTCACCCACCCCTTGGCTGAGCACAGGCAGCCCCCACACCCAGCTTTCATCCCCTCTGGGAGCTGGCAGAGTCCTTCCAAGTTCAGATCCACGGACCCAGCACCTGGGAGACCCCTGCTGGACACCTGCTGCTCCTAGACAGGCTCTGTCTGGTCCCAAGGCCACTGGCCCAGGACAGGTTGGTGGACGAGCAGGGACAGCTGCTTCGGCAGTGGCTGAACAGATGGGACAGCCGTCCCAGCTCAAGGCGAGGCCAGGATGGAGGGGCTGGGCTCAGGGCTGAGCAAAGGAAAGCAAATTGTTTCAGGCACCAGCGACATGAGAGGCCTGACTGGGCTTGGAGAGACCCAGGAGCCCGGCTGCCCACGTTGCCCTGTCCTGTGGGACCTGGGCCCCCCGCAGGTGTGTGTCCGCAGGTGAAGCCAGGCCCGGTCTTTCTGTTTGTGTTGGCAGCTGGGCCCACTCCTTTCCAGAAGGAACACTCCCAGGTTGGTAAATACTGGCGTAGCCCCGGGAGCTGTCAGTTCATGGTTTTTAAAATACTTCTCCTCTTGTCGTCCTGTCAACATCCTGCCCGCTGCACTTGTGCGTCTCTGGGAGGCAGTGGGGCAGGGCAGATCCGTGGGTCCGTGTTTCTAAGGAGCTCTCCTTGACCTTCCTGGTCAAGATCCTCCTCCCCCATCAGGATCCTCTTCCCCACCCCCCACAGTGGTCCCGCCAGGGCTGTTGTCTCCTCGGGCCTTCGCTATGGCCCTGCCTGCTCCACCGGGGCTGTGTTTGCCCTTGCAGCTCTGTGACCTGCCACATTGAGCGTGCGCACCCCAGGAAGATGGCTGAGGACAGCAGTGATGAGTGGGGGTGGGGTGGGGTCCTGCATGAGTCTCCCACACAGAATCCCTTTCCAGGTCACAAAGTCTTACCAAGGTGACAACTTCCCTCCTGCTGCTGCAGCTTGGGCTTAAGGGGTTCATGCAACTTCTGGGGATCCACCAGGTCACCAGGGGGCAGAGCCAGGATTGGACCCTGCGCCTGCCTAGTTCAAGGCCCCTAGGGCTGCCCAGGCTGTAAACTTCTCCAGCGTGGTCGTTTGATTTCCTTTCTATTCTCCCCTGAGAGGCAGACCCTGGGCTTTTTAGAAAATTAATGAATTAATTAGAAAGGGAATGTGGGGCAGGGGAGATCGATGATCTTGCATTTAGTCCCCAAATGCCTGCAACAGCTAGGACTAGGCCAGGCTGAAGCTGGGAGCTTGGAACTCCCAGTATTTACCTGTCTACCTTCCTACCTACCTATCATCTGTCTATCCATCCGTTCATCCACCTGTCCATCCACCTGTTCATCCACCGCTCATCTATCTGCTGTCTGAGTAGACAAATAGACTCGTTCACCTATTTATCTTCCATCGACCCACTTACCCATTTATCTGTCTGTCTGTCTATCTATCTATCTATCTATCTATCTATCTATTTATCTCTATCATCAATCTATCTCATAGATACATAACTAGGTCTTCAAAGAATTCACAGAAAGTATATTACAAAAAATACCATGCATGGATTTCAAAAGTTCTTTTTTTCACCAAAATAAACTTATCTTTTTAATTCCATTTTCCACAGACTTGGAGGGGGAACAGAGAGAGCAGTGAGCAAAAGAGAGAGAGAGAGAGAGAGAGAGAGAGGAGACACTCCTATCTACTGGTTTACTGCGCAAATACCAGGAACTGTGGACTCAATCCAGGTCCCCCACATGGGCGGCAAGGAGCCAACTACTTGAGTTATCCCCTGCTGCCTCCTAGAGTGAACCTTAGCAGGAAACTGGAACTGGAAGTAGAGGAGAGACTCTGATAGGGATGTGGTCATTCCAAGTGGCTGCTTAATCCATGAACTCTTTGAAACAGCCTTGTGCATCTATCTAAAATACCACCCATGAGAGGAGTATGCACTGTGCCAGGGGACTTTGAACTTGGGCCTAGGAATGAAGTCAGAGAAGTGCCATTCTTCCAGCAACCGTGTCCTGGCACCTTGTCTGGTCAGGTTCTGTGCTGGACACCAGGGAGACGGAGCAGGGAGGCCCACAGCACTCTAGCGGTCCAGAGAAGCCAGCCTCAGCGGGATACTACCATGGGCTTTGGGAGGCAGGGGATGACACTGGGGCCCTGGGTGGATTTCCTAGCAAGAGGCTGAGAAGGGTCTGATCAGGAGGGAGTGAGTCCCAGCTCGCCGGCCCTTGTCTGTGGCTTGGGAGAGGGACACGGTGTCGCGTTCTGCACAGGGCCACCCTTCAGCGACAGCCGCCTGCAGGGGAGCTGGGGAAGCACCCTCTCCCAGCCGCCAGCCTAGCAGGGGACAGTGCAGCCTCTCCGTGCCCTGGGCTTCGCGTTGCGAAGGTGCGTGTGGCTGCAGCCACCCAGCTCGCTGCGGTCTCTTCTCCCGTGAGACTGCCGCGGCCCATTGTCCTCCATTCTGACCCCTCTCCCCTAGACACCGTTCACAGTGTTTCTCGCACAGGGGGAGGGAACTCTGGTGTCTGAGCCACTCTCCCAGTGTCACGGACCCTGGCTGAATGAGAGAGAGGAGCCTGCGGGCCCTGGGGGCCCCCGGCCTGGGCAGAACCCTCACTCGCACTGTGTTCTGGGTCAGGGCAAACCTTAGCCCAAGGGAGCAGACCACGCGCCCTGTGGAGGAGGAGCCTCGAGATCGGGGAGGAGGAAAGGCCAGGGCCACCCTTTGCAGTCTGTCTTCTGGCCGCCACCCTGGCTCTGGCTGGCACCCACTGTTGCCCCCGTGAGCCCACAGCGTGGCAACAAGAGATGCTGCAGTGGGGAAGATGGTGGGTGGGGTGGTGCCTGGTGCCCAGTGCTGGTGACTGCTGTCTGGGAGTCCTTACTCCAGGGTCAGCAGCTCCTTCTCAGAATTTAACAGTGTTGCGTTTTCATTTCAATGTGGCCATGAGCACAGCCCCGGGTCTTCATCTTTCTAATCTGTGGATCTGGGGCCACACAGCCCCCAATTCATGGCTATGGGAGGCTGAGGGGAGAAGCACTCTGACACTACCAGAGTAGTGCAGGGTGTGCGCACGGCTGTCGGTGAGCTTTGGAAGAGAAGTGCAGAGGGAGGGAAACTGAGTCACGGCCGGCAGTGCAGTACTGGAGGAGCCTCTCCAGCAGCCAGGAGTGCTTCCTGTCACCCACAGCACTTTCTCGCTGGCTGCTTTGCCTCACCTGCCCCTGTGAAGTAACGCTGTCCCTGTCTGCAAGCAGCGGGGCTGGGAGGAGACACTGGGTGCCCAGCGAGATGGGATCCATCAGTGATGGAGAGTAAGCCTGGGAGCTGGGCCTCCCCAGCAGGGGCGTCCACCGCAACCTGGCCCCATGGGGACTCAGTCACTGGCAATATCCAAGCTTGCTTGAACGCCAGGCACCAGGTGCTCATTGCTAGCCCTCCAAGAAACCAGTGAGGGAAGTACCAGGGGGACCTCAAGCGGTTCATGGACAAATGGAATTAAAAGGCAAGTTTATTTCAGTGCCCAAAAAATGAAATCGGTACATAGCTTTTTCATCATATAAATAAATAAAATAAAAAGAAATAGATTTATTCAAATGTAGTTACAGAGAGAGAGAGAGAGCGAGAGTGAGCGAGCGAGAGAAAGAGAGTGCTTCCATCCACTGGTTCACTCCCCCAAATGGCTGTAACAGCTGGATCTGCACCAGACTGAAGCCAGGAGCCATGATCTCCATCTGGATCTCCCACATGGGTGCAGGGGCCCAAGCTCTTAGGCTATCTCCCACTGTGTTCCCAGGCACATTAGCAGGGAGCTGGATCAGAAGTGGAGCAGCAGGGACTTGAACCGGCTCTCTGATATGGGATGCTGGCATCACAGGCTGTGGCTTAGTCCACTACACCACACCGGCAGCTCCCAGGGCAGAGAAACTCACCAAAGCCATGCAGCACTCCCACCAGCTCTGTCTTCTTTCGTATCTAGGACTCTTCCCAGCTCCAACTCAGACCCCTCCACCGGATGCTTCCCCAGCTGGGCAGCTCCCTTCCCAGGGCTCCTCAGGGCCCAGGTGAGAAGCAGGTGCATCCATCCCATTTTGACTTTCGCCAGCCTGCCAGGAAGCCCAGTTCCTACTCAGGGGATCAAGTCTCAGAGCAAACACTGAAGAAGTCCAACCTGTTTTTTTTTTTTTTAAATCTCGGTTTGGGAAAACAAAGTCCTGGAAGTGTTCCAGTAAGTTCAGAGAGTTTCTGGCCTGGCTGTGAGTACACAGGGACAAGTGGCTCAGGTCCTGTCCCTCCCCTGCACCACCCCATCCTGCCTGGCTCCTTCCCCACAGCAGTCACCAAATCAGAGCACTGTTTGCTCTCCAAAGAAGGCCTGGGCATGACCGGCCGCGGGCCAGCGAGAGCGGCTGCCTGGCTCTCAGTGTTTCTGGGTTCTCTGGGTCAGGACTTCCATGAGGTGGAGAGGTCATCTGTAACCAGGCTTCGGGAGCAGGTAAGACCAGGGCCGCAGCCATCTCAAGCTCCCCCAGGTCCAGCCAGATGAGGGGGCACAGAGCGGCTGCTCCCTCCCTGGCATGCTGGCCACCCTGTGGACTAATTGTCTTTGGGCTCCACTGTCTCCCTGGCCAGTCTGGAGGCAGCTCCGGGGCAGGGCTCACGGATAACTTGACCCCAAGTCCCTGCCCCATGCCCGGCACCTGGCCTGCAGGAGGGCGTCCGATAGCCTCCAAGGTGGGAACGTGGGAGCCCTGCTGGAGATGCGCCCCTTGGGAGAGTGCTGGGCCGGAAGTCTGCAGGGCTAGCCTCTGCCTCCTCCTTGGTCGCTAGCACCTGGTGTCACCTTGAGTGACATGTTTCAGCCTTCTTGGCATCAGTTCTCCTCACTGTGCAACAGGGCTATGGAATGTTGGGAAAGTGTATGTGTGTGTATGTGTGTGTGTGTGTAACTTTTTCAGGAACTGGGTACTCAATCCAGGTCTCCCCTGTGGGACCCAATGACTTGAACCATCACTGCTGTCCTGCACAGTCTCCAGTGGCAGGAAGCTGGGGTCAGGAGCTGTAGCTGGGAATCAAAGCCAATGTGATATGTGGGTATCTTCCCTGTTAGGCCAAATGACCACTCCTTCCCTATGCTCTTAACAAGATTCATTTATCTGTTTATTTATTAGAGAGGCAGAGTTACATAGAGAGGAGACACACACACACACAGAATCTTATACTACCAGCTTGATTATGCCCCGAAAGGCTGCAAGAGTTGGGGCTGAGTTCAGGCTGAAGCCAAGAGCCAGGAACTCCATCCCAGTCTCCCACATGGGTGACCAGAGCCCATGTTCTTGAACCATCATCTGTTACCTTCCCAGGTACATCAGCAGGGAGCTGGACCGGAATCAGAGTGGCTGGGACTTGAACTGGCGCTCCAGTATGGGACTGCAGTGACTTACCTGGCTGTGCCATAGTGCCCACCCTTCTTCCCTGGCTTTCTCATGGCATGTGTCAGGGGCTTAACCACAGAGCCACTGGAGCAAAGTAAGTAGAAGAATGTGCAGATTAGATAGCTAGGTGATACGCACATAGACAGATAGGTGACAGATTGGATAGATGATAGACTGACAGATGGGAAGTGACAGATAAATGGATGGGTAGATTTCATAGATGATAGGTAGGGAGACAGACGATAGATGAATAGTGACAGATTGGGTAGATGATGGAATGCTGGATTTGATAGAAGGTAGATGATAGATAGATCCAAGGATAAATGTGGTCGGTAGACAGAGAAGTGGCTGATGACAGGGTGTCGGCTTATGCCCATTGTGCTGCTTGCATGTATCCGTGTCTGTGGCTGCAGCATCAAGTTCACAGCCTCAGGTGAGAGGGAGGATCACAGTGCAGCCTGGAACCCCGAAGCACAGGGTGGCCGGGTGCCTTAGGGACAGAAACGCACTGCGTCTTCGTGCTTGCCCCTGGGAGGCTGGGAAAACCGGCCCCATCGAGAAGGGTTGGGATGCCTCTGGTTCCATCCCAGCCCATCTCCAAGGGCCTCCAAATGTTCCCTAGTGACTGCTCGGTAATGGATCTCTCCCATGTTAGCTGGGCTCGTGGTGACCTGGGGAAGACTCTTCTCTTCGCTCCCTTTATAGGCAGACCTCGGTGAGGCCGCGTGGCTGGGTTCTGCCTGGTGGGATATCAGTGGAAGCAGAAACATTCCAATGGAGTCTGCTAACAAAGGGGCATGCTCTTCATTCATCAGGTCTTGTTTTGGGGAGCAAGAGGCAGGCTGAAATGCAAATGTAACGTAATGGCTGGAGCTCCAGCAGGCACTTTGGAGCATGCAAATCACCTTGGGAATACAAGTCATACCTGGGAGTGACAAGGTAGTAGGGAGTTGGGCTCCTGATACCGCACTATCCCTGGATCGACCACTTCTGGACTTTAAGAGCATGAGGGAGGGAACAACAATCTTATTTAAAGTCTTGCAACTCAAAGCATGTTCCCAGGGCCAACCACACTGACATCTGGGAGCTTGTTACAAATGTACAGTCTTGGACTTGCCTGGAACTACAGGACAATATCCACAGTTTAACAGGCTCTCCAGGTGATTTGTATGCCTGTGAAAGTTGGAGAAGCACTGGTTATTGGAGGAGCCCCATTCTCCCTGCTGTAGCTGCGATGGCCTGGTCAATGCTGACAGCTTGAGTTCCCCGCGAAATTGTCAGCGTCTCCTGAGCCAGTGGCTTCTGGGGAAGCCGTCCAGACTCAGGAAGAACCATTCTCCCAACAGCCCCTCTTCCTGACCTTGATGTGCGGGGCTCCAGGCAAGCAATGGGCGCTGGGAGAAATCGCGGGTCCTGTGCCTGTGCACGCGTCTCTGTGCATGTGCGTGTTGTGGCTGTGAGCAGCCCTGTGTGTGGTCTGTGTGTCTTTGCAGAGAGCCAGGGGGCACCAGGAGGGTTGGGAAGAAGTGCTCACCCCCCAGCCGCGGATGCCAGTCTTCCAGGAAATAAGAGGAAGGCAAAGCAGAGACCTCCAGCCTGCAGAGAGAGAGAGAGTTAAAATCAGGTGCAAATCAGGCTCCCCAAGAGAATTTCTGCAAGCCACAAACCAGGAACGGTGCCTGCGTGGAAAGCAGACACGGGGCCTAAGGGTGGGGGCGGGGACTGCGGGCCTGTTCTGAGGCTACCCCCAGGATGGGGGTGGGATGTAGGGTACCAGGTGTGGGATGGCCCCCCTGCAGGTGCAGAACAGGGACCGTGACTTCGGGGTGTGGCCCAGAGCGTGGCGTAGGCTCCTGGGGCTGGTCGGTGTGTCCAGTGTCACTCGGTGTTGTCCACAGTTCCCTGGCCTCTCCCCTGTCTGTCCTGGGAGAATTCCTTCATGCCCGCCAGCCAGAAAGAAGGGCTTCCAGTTCCCAGGGACATGCGAGGCGGGGCACTTGGCGCTGCGTGTGCAGCTGTGACCCGCCCACCCCTTCCTGTCTTGGAAGAGGGGACAGATGCCAGGGATGGTAGACGCAATGTCCCTCGACTGGCAGATGTGGTGGCCGACCCACGGTGGGCTCCAGGGTGGCTCCTGTACTCCTGCCTCATGCCAAGTTTAAAGACAGGAAGTGGCGGGAGCTGACAAGGGCCCAGTCACCTTCCCAGCAAGCGGTAGCACTGAGCTCAAACACGTGACGCTGTGTTTCCATCCCAGGCGTGGATGGCGGCAGGTGGCTGCCTGCTGGGGGCTTGGTGGCTAGGCAGGGCCAGTCAGCCATGGGGCTGAGAGCGAGCGTGCAGGGCCCTCCCAACCCATCCATCTCTGTTCTGTTCCTTGGCTTCCCGGGTGGGGGATTTTGCTTTGTGTTCCAAGGTGTCTCCTGGGCTGGACTCATGACTGGCACAGCCGTGACCTCCTCAGCCATTGCTGGGCCCAAGGCGGCATCCCCTTAGGGCTGATTTGCAGGGCTCTGGTGGGTAGGTGAGTTGTGCCGGGAGGGCTGGATGTCTCAGGACAGGGCTGCCGTCACTGGGAACTATGGGGGTGACTATCACTGGGCAGGGACTCAACATCTCCTCTGCCCTCTGCACGGGCTATGGGGCACAGTCAAGGCTAATGAGGGGGTGTGGGACTTCGGCGCAGGCTCCCTGGAGCTCCTCCTTCTGTCGTGGGTTAGGAGCGTGTCCCAGTGGCAGGCTGGGCTGCAGTGGGGAAGGCCCATTTAGAAGGGGTTGCTGTAAACCCTGGGCTTTATGTGAGCAAGCTTGGTTGGATCTTTAACTACATGGCAGGTGGATGTGATGGCTTCAGGCTATTAGAGATTCCGGAGGCTGGGACTCTCCCAGCCGGAACTCAGCGTCTCTAACTTCCCTCCCACCCAGGTGTGGCCCAATCCCAGCTGGGAGGGCCTTGGGTGAGCCGGGAGGGTGTGGCCTCTGCTGGGACAAATAGGGCCTCCCTCTCCACCCTGGCTTCCAGATGTGGCTCCCTGGTGGTGGAGGAGGCAGGACGTGACGGGAGACCCTGGTCTGACCTGGTGATGGGGGCTTGGTCGCTGCCTGCTACTTAGGCTGACCCAGCATCCCCAGCTCCGTGCACAGGGCGGCTTGCTGAGCAGTGAGCTACTCCTCCTCCGGTCCTTCCACCACGAGATCCTCCCAGATGGGGACAGTTGGGTCCCGCAGCCCTCTCCGAGTGGGACCAGCCCTCCCCCGGGCAGCACCCAGCTTCACCTCCTCCTCTGACCTCTGTGCCCTGCAGGTGGGGAGTGGAACCCGGGGGGCTTCCCTCAGCCTCACCAGAGCCACAGGGAGCTGGCCCAACACAGAGGCTGCCCACACCCCTCTCAGCCCTCTGCCTTCAGCCCTCAGGCACACAGCTTGCAGCTTCAGGAAACACCAGAGGAGAAGGCAGCGCCGTGGCTGTCCCTGTGCCACTGAGACCCTGGACAGCTCTCCCTCAAGCCCGCTCTTCACTGAGGAGGAACCTGTGGGAATCTGCAGAGAGGCGGCAAACAGGTGATAACTCCTTGCTTCAGCCCAGGCGGGCTGGGCTGGGACAGGAGGGGAAGCAGCCTCTTTGTCCACGGGAGAGGAGGGGAAGTGAGCCACTGAGGACCCCCTGTCTTCCCCTAAGCCTGCAGCCCTCCTCGCTGCTGCCTTCCTGGGCTCAGGGCTCAGGCCTGGACTGAGGGTCAGGCACAGGGTGGGCATGGTGGGTGCCACAGCAGACCCACTGCATCCTCTGCTCTCAGGGGCAGCCTGGCCACAGTGGTTGGCCTCTCTTTTTATTTCATTTTTTTTAAATTTTAACTTTATCTTTCAAAGATTTTATTATTTGAGAGGTAGAGTTACAGACAGTGAGAGGGAGACAGAGAAAGATCTTCCATCTGCTGGTTCACTCCCCAAATGGCCACAGTGGCCAAAGCTGGGCTGACCTGAAGCCAGGAGCCAGGAGTTTCCTCTGGGTCTCCCATGCTGGTGCAGGGGCCCAAGCTCTTGGGCCATCTTCCACTGCTTTCCTAGGCCATAGCAGAGAGCTGAATCGGAAGTGGAGCAGCTGGGACTCGAACCGGAGCCCATATGGGATGCTGGCACTGCAGGCAGTGGCTTTACCTGCTACACCACAGCACCAGCCCCAACAATGGACTGTTTTACAAGACAAACCCTGTCCTCAATACTGGCGTTCTGTGTGTGCCCAGTTTCCAATGGAAAGAATTGGGATTACATTTTACCACGTTATTGTCATGGATATGTATGTATATACAAGCTGAAGAGTGAAATGTGTTATTTAAAACTAAAAAGCTATTCTCAACTGCTCATGCAAAATATTAACTCCACTGTGGTGAAAAATATGCTAGTTATTAGCTACCCTTAGAATCATGAGTTGGAACAGGAAAAGAAGAAAGGAAATGGATCCTTAATGCTATTAGGGATCAATTTTTTTTAATTAAACATGTCATGGAAAATGTATTGGCCAGTGCCGCGGCTCACTAGGCTAATCCTCCACCTAGCGGCGCCGGCATAACGGGTTCTAGTCCAGGTCGGGGTGCCAGATTCTTTCCCGGTTGCCCCTCTTCCAGGCCAGCTCTCTGCTGTGGCCAGGGAGTGCACTGGAGGATGGCCCAGGTGCTTGGGCCCTGCACCCCACATGGGAGACCAGGAGAAGCACCTGGCTCCTGCCATCCGCCGGCCGCAGCGCGCCAGCTGCGGTGGCCATTGGAGGGGAACCAATGGCAAAGGAAGACCTTTCTCTCTGTCTCTCTCTCTCACTGTCCACTCTGCCTGTCAAAAAAAAAAAATGTATTGCATTCATGCCAAAAGGATTTAAATTAAAAAAATTATTTGACAGGCAGCGAGAGGAAGGGTAAGGTCTCTCATTCACTGGTTCACTCCACGAATGGCTGTGACAGCTGGGGCTGAGCCAGACAGAAGCCAGGAGCCAGGAGCTCCATCTGAGTCTCCCAAGCGGACAGCAGGAGCCCAGTGACTTGAGCCCCCCCAGAGTTCCCATCAGCAGGAAGCTGAAGTTTGGAGCCAGAGCTGGGAGTCAAATGAAAGTATGCAAATAGGGCCCGGGGCATTAACCGCTGGGTGTGCCTGCCTCTGCACTAATTCGAATTTTTTCCTGGAGAGGAGCTTCACACTCAGCCCCTCTGGACGGCTCAAAGTGTGCCTGTCTCTACGTCAGCAGGGTGTGGCCCATGGCTTTTGATCATCAGAACGCTCTTGGCTCAAGGACATTAGGCCTGAGACATAGAAATGGATTCTGCTGGGGCCTGAGCAGGTCAGCAGGAGGATGGGGTGAGAGGCTGTGGTCTGCACACCCAGCTCCGGGGCCTGTGTTTTTGTTTTCTTTTTATTTCCCGTATTTGAAAGGCAGATTAAGAGAGGCAAGGAGAGAAAGAGATCTTCCATCCACTGGTTTAGTCCCCAAATGGCCTCAATGGCCAGGACTGGGCCAGGCTGAAGCCAGGGGCCTGGAGCTCCATCCAGGTCTCCCATGTGAGTGCAAGGGCCCAAGCACTTGAGCCATCCTCTGATGCTTCCCAGGTGCCTTAGCAAGGAGCTGGATTGGAAGAGGAGCATCTGGGACTCAAATCGGCACTCATACGGGATGCAGGTGGCTTAACACACTGGGTCACCACGCTGGCCCCCGGTGTGGTTTTTAGGAAGTGTATATCAGTGTGTGTGTGTGTGTGTGTGTGTGTGAGCACAGCGTGGGGGGCCTCCTGCTGGGTCTGGGGTGGTGTGCACGGCAGGCTGTGCACCTGCTAACCACCAGCGGTGCACACTGGCAGGCTGCCAGCAGTCACAGCTGTCATTCAGGACCTGGCCCCAGGGAAGTGAGTGATGGAGGGAAGGCAGACGCTTGACCTGTGCTGCCCTGTCGTGTTCTCCCTCTCCCCGAAATGCGAGCATGTAGCTAAGGGCGTGGGAAGCCCATCAGTTAACGGAGAGCTCTGAACGCGAGGCAATTAACTTCACCTTGGCGGCCCTCGGAGGCTGTCCGGGCCCTCTTGGGTTCTGTCCCTCTGGTGAGGCTCCAGCTCCGTCCTCAGAGCCCGTCAGACCCGCAGTCTCCTCCTGTTGACTCTCTTTGTCCATTTGCTGCTACTTGAAATCCCAGAACGGGAGCTAAACAGCTGATGAAGGAATTCGATCTTCTCTTACCTGCCCCAGCTGGACGGCTGGGTCGGGCACGCACAGGTGTGGGGACACCTTCTGTCCTGGCTGCTTATGAGGCCTCCCGGCAGTGCCACCAGCACCCTGGGAGAGAGGGGGTCACACGGACTTGAAATCGGACCCCAGCTCCTCTGCTCATCTGCCCTGTGACCCTGGATACTCCACATCTCCAAGCCACAGGTTCTCGTTCTGTAACTGGCACCACTTATTGGGGGGGGGGGGGAGCTCTGGGCACTGCCGGGCTAGGCAGCATCTTTTAGAGTTAAGCAAAAGGGGCTGGTGCTGTGGCATAGTAGGTTAAGGCTCCACCTGCGGCATCTCATATGGGCACCAGTTTGAGTCCCAGCTGCTCCACTTCCGATCCAGCTCCCTGCTGATGGCCTGGGAAAGCAGCAGAGAATGGCCCAAGTGCCTGGACCCCTGCACCTGCATGGGAAGAAGCCCCTGGCTCCTGGCTTTTACTTGGCCTAGCCCTTGTTGTTGTCATTTGGGGAGTGAATCAGAGGATGGAAAATCTCTCTCTCTCTCTCTCTCTCTCTCTCTCTCTCTGTAACTTCGCCTCTCAAATAAATACATCTTTAAAAACAAAAGTTAAACAAAAAAGTGCTGCTCTGGGCACGAGACCTGGGGCATAGACCGCAGGCTAGCCTTGAGCCCTTGCTGACCGCAGCTGGGCTCGGTGGTCCCGCACAAGGTCTGGCCCACTGTAGTGCCTCCTGATCCGCAGTTTCTCTGTCCAGTGCTTCAGCTATCTGAGGCCAGCTGCGTGAAGGAAACCAACTGGGAAATTCCAGAAAAAAATGGTCATAATTTTAAAGAACTTATTATCATATATTGTTGCTACTGTTCTATTTGATTTATTTATTAGCTATTATTTATTTTACTTACAGCTGTTGTTAATCTCCCACTATGCTTGATTTAAAAATCAAAGCTTTTTCATAATTATGTGTATATAGGAAAAAAAACCAGTATGTGCAGGGTTTGGCACTGTCCACAGCTTCAGGATCCACTCCCACCGTGTGGACTGTTTCAGCTGGCTCCGGTGCGTGGAGGGAAACCCAGGTGTGCAGCCCTCCAGAGAGGCGGCCTCTGGAGGGCGTGGCCAGGCCATCAATCACCACCCTAACAGCGGGCGTCAGCTTGTGCGCGCCTCCGTGCGGCATTGTCATTGCCAGCCAGGAAGCAAGCAGGGTAGGGGCCACCGGTGCCATCTTCCAGCTGGGGAAACCCAGGCTCCGAGGATGGGAGTGACAGGACACTTCTGGGTCATCACCCCTGACACTGCACTGGGCACTCAGCGTGGGTGACCCTCCCCCAGACCCCCCAGAGGAGGCCTTTGTTCTGCGGCCTCGCTGCTTGCTTCCCTGCCCGTCCCGTCCCTCCGAGCTGGGAGAAGCTGGGGCTCCAGGCAGCTGGACTGGCTCTTGGGCAGGAGCCTGTGCTTGCAAGCCATCTGCAGTGAGTGAGCTGCCCCGCCTGCAGGCTCTGGCGCCTCCCCATCCTCAGACTGTCCTCGCTTCTTTGCATGCTGGCCGGGCGCATGGGCATGACTTTGGATGCGGATTCCCGGTGGGGGCGGGTAGGTGGAGAGCCTCCCGCGGTGTGAAGACCAGGATTCTTCCTCTGCCCCAGCTCCCCTGGAGCTCCGCATGAGGAGCTGCTGGACAAGAGACTGGTTTTTAATCAAGAGGCTCTGTCTTGGTTTCCTGCCCGGTGCGTGTTTTAGGTGGAGGTCTCTGGGAAGCCACCGAGCTGGAGGTTTGTAGGAGGGAACCGTCCAAGCATCTACTCCTGGGGAGGGAAGGATGGCCTGGGGGAAGTCTGGGTGCCAGGCAGCGTCTACGAGGTCTCAGCTGACCTCGCGGCCAGGCCTGGCCTGTGGCCCCAGCCTTTGTGTCCTGGTGCCATCGATCAGTCAGTGGTGAGGTCCCAGGAGGAGGGGACATGCCTCTGGAGGAGGCCGCTTTCCCTAACTGCAGAGCCACGGAGCAGCTGGGGAGCCTGGGTCCTCCATTCTCCCTGGCCACCTTGCTCTTGGTCTCCTCTGTCCATTTCCGGTGAGGACCCCAGAGGAGGTGGGCTCGGTGGCAGAGCAGGACTGCCGCAGGGACAGGCCGCCTAGCCAGACGCCAGCACAACCCATCAGCTCCTCCAGCTCCAGACTGGGGCTAAGCCATCCCTGTCACTCACCCCAAGAGAGGAGAAGCTTCTGCTGCAGGCCACTGGATTTGCTACGCACAGGAGCCTGCGTGCATGCTTGCAAACCAGGGCTGTCTCGCTCCTGCAGGCTCCTGGATCGCAGAGGCTTGTGGGAGGCTTGGAGAGTGCTGGGTCGATTTAGGAAGACCAGAGGGTTATTTGGGATCCAGGGAAGGCAGCCTGCGACCCGGGCTGGGCTGAGCACAGAGGGCCAGGGAATGAGTGGCAGGGGGCAGGGGTGGGGGGATGGGGGTGGACCATGGGGCTCCTGGCACCAGGCAGAAAGAAAGCCCTGCCTGAGGCCCCGCGGGGGATGCGTCCTGCTGTCTGGGGCACAGGTGCACCTCTTGCCTTCCGTCTCCTCTAAGGGAGGTCCCAGGCACTGCTTCAGGGAAGAGGGACACGCGTTAGGGTCCCGGGGTGACAATGTGGAGTTGGGGGGATCTTAGGGTCCAGACGCGGGAGAAGGAGCCCTCCCCGCAGCAGTGGATGGCGGGGGTGACAGCAGTGACTTGGAGCTGGCCTGCGAATCAGCGCAGGTTTTCCCGCTAGAAGAAGAGGCAGCCGGGCGGGCGGCAGCCGATGGCCATCGGGGTCCCTGAGTGACTCGGGGCGTTTTCCAGCTCGTTGGACCAGCGCCCTGCTGTGCGAAGCGTCCTCCCGACGCCCTAGTGGGTGGATGCGTCATGAGCAGGGAATTTCATCCATGCGCTGCGACTCCCTGGCCCGCGAACGCAGCCGCAGGCGCGCTCTGATAGCCTGCAGGGCTCGCTGCCCCGCCGCCGTTTCGCGGGGTGTTTCACGCTCTCTGCTCATACGCCCTAGCAACTCCGCGCCGCTCGGCTTTTGAGGAGCGGAAGTGGGCGTGTTTCCCGGAGTCTAGACGGACCCAGCCTTTGAAAGGGTCAAGTTCTCATCCTGGCCAGCCTCCCCCTTCCAGCCGGTAGCCCTGGGTTTGCGTGCGCGCGCTCGCAGCGGCTGGGGCAGAGCGGGGAGAAGCAGCAGAGGGGTTGCGGCTCAGGCTCTGGGCCTTTCTGCTGATGCCCAGGTCGGGGCTGGCGCTGGCAGAGGCAAAGGGTGGGTGATAAGACCCCGGCCCGCAGCCCCCTCACCCATGGGGTCCACTCCTCCTCCCGTGCCTTTGTAGACAGGAATGATGTGCCGGGTCCTGGGCACATGAGTAGTGCTCCCTGTCCGGCTGGGACCTACTGGCGGACTGGAACACAGGATGGCGTGTTCGGGGGCGGGCCGGAAGG